TGTCTTTGCTAAAAAAAAAACCCAATTCGTCTGAATTAATCTGTTACCCATGAAAGTTATAGCATTTACAAATGGGGGTATAGATACTGGATTTTTTCATACTAGTAATGGCGGTGATCAGCGACCTATAGCGGGACTGCGGGGGGCATTCTGACACTGGGGGGAACTGAATGGTGTCACTGACATCCCCAGTGATCAGTGCTAATAAAAAGCACTGACACTGTACGAATGGCGCTGGGCAGGAAGGGGTTAACATGTGGGGCGATCAAAGGGTTAACTATGTGCTGTTTCGCTGTGTTTGTGTTTCACTGTAAGCACACTGCTTTGTATGGCTGTGCTATGCAGAGCCATACAAAGCAGTGTGCAGAAGCTAACAGGGGAGAGAACTGTATTGTTTACATACAGGTCTCTCCCCCATCGGAGATACTTGGCGATCACTGGGTGCCAGCGAGTAATCACCGGCCAGGACCTGTTGATTGACAGCTGAGGCTGCGAATGGCGGCGCAAGACAAGCGCGCTCCCCTACCTAGAACTACAAAATCATGTATATATATACACACATGATTTTTTGCACCTCTGCCGCCCTGTAGGGCGGAGGGTAAGCAGTTAACCCCTCCAAACTATATATTTTCTGAAAGCAGACAACCTAAAGAATAAAATGGTGGTAGTTCTATTATTTAGCATAACTCAATTTTGGGCGAAGCTTTAGGAAATGAAAAATTTCAGCAAAAATAAACAAAATTTAGTTTTAGTCACCGGTCATGCGATTTAAAATTGTGCGATTTGTGTGCAATTTCAGCTTGTTTTCAGGTGATATCTCTGAAGACTTTATTGCGACGTGTGAAGGTTTTCAATGATTCCTTGTGATTTCCATTATATTCTATGTATGTGAAATTGCAATAAACTGCAGAAGAGGTAATGCATGAACTACTTTAGAAATTGCACTGCAGCAAATCTTAAGTGTTAAGACACTGACAGTCACATTCATTAGATTTGATTTCAGGTGAAATTTCAATTTGTAAATTGCACCCAAAATCGCACCTGAAATCGCACCAGTATACTGTAAGTGGGCACATAGAGACACTCAAACACAATATATTACACAGAAGATGAGGCTTTGCCAAGTAAATAGATACCCAACATGTCAAGGCTTAAAATCGCATGTATCGGTGAAACGGCTGCAAACTTTGGCCCCTGACAGGTCATCTGTTTACAGCCAACCATGAATAATGGGCCGGGAATTACTGTTCTCACTCACTTGTAATGCATGTGGTTGCCACCAGCTAGTAGAGGGCTCCAGGGGTTAAAGCTTCTCAGAGACCAAAGCAACAATGAATGAGCTCTTAGGCTGCATTCACATTGAGCCCTGCATTCACACTGATGCAGTGAAGCACATTGCATGTGATTCGCACAAGAACCGCACCGCATTCCTGTGCAAATCACATGCGGTTTCTGTGCGGTGCAATTCGAGCCATGCAAAATCGCACCTCATCCGCACCAAAATAGTGCAGGAACCGTTTTTTTTTGTCCGCACCAGAATCAGATCGTATGGGTATTCACACCCAAGCGATCCGATTCTGCACATCGCACCGTGTTTTTGTGAACCAATTCCCGGGTGTTGTTAACTTGAAAGGGGATCACCAATATGGGTCCAAAAGCTTTAATGAATGATCACATAGTTACAGCAAGGCAACGTTTCGGAGTCTCGCAAGACCCCTTCATCAGGCATGTGACGTCACTACTGTGTCGCATTTAGCATGAGGAGGCAGGCCAATTAAAATGAATGGCTGCCCTATGTGCATGGCGTGAAAATGTGTAAAACAATTTTTCATGCGTTCATAAAATGCTCCAGCTCTGGTTCACATTGATGCGGTACGGAATTCCGTCATAATCGCACCCCATTCATGCGAACTGCTGCGGTTGTGTATTTGAACTTAACAACACCTCGGAATCAGTTCACAAAAAAAAAAAGGGTCCTGCACTATTTTGGTGCGGATGAGGTGCGATTTGAGCCCTGCAAAATGTATGGCTCTAATTGCATGCACTGATGTCCATGCAGATTGCACATGAAATAGCAAAAAAAATAATCCAGGAACCTTTTTTCCCAAATTGGTGCAGCAATGCAAAAGCTTAAGCATGTATTGCAATATGTGTGAACTAAATATCCTATTTATTGCATAGTCTGCTTGAAAGGGTATATATCAGTGTGCAGAGGGTCCTTCAGAATTTCTAATGCAAAATCAAAGTCGCACCGCTTTGAACGTTTCTATAAGTACAAATATGGTGCAACTTAACCAATTTGGAATGCCAACTCGCATGACAAGTCCACTGGTGTGAACCAAGACTTAATAGCACAATCGCAGTACGACTTGTATTTTACTAAGGATCAGTCAGCATTAGACATGCAATTCGATTAATTACAAATTGAAATTCAGACAAATGTTTTGTTATTTGGAGATGCGGATGTATCTGAATCTACAAATCATAATAGTAACGAATTTCAATGAATCTAAAATAAATTATTATGAAAAAACAACAAAGTCATCTGTATTCATTCATTTCATTCGAATAACATGATGCAATAGTTTTGGGCCTTTTCTTAATGTTTGAAGCATCTGAAAAACATAAGGACATAGCAAATGATCCAAATAGATTCGGATCCATTCGGCACGGCGCAGTTGTCTTTGACACTTGGATAATCAGCAGATTCTTTTTTGCATAAACATTTTTCATTATTATAAATAATGCACTACCTATGAAATGGAAACATATTGCAATAAATCCACTGTAATTGGACAATATTGACTGGAGCAATGTGCATCTCAAGGTAATGAATGGAATGAAATAAATTTTGGATTCATTTGTTATGTTATGATTTGGAGAATCTGATGGATACATCTCCATCCAATCTAAACACAATAAGTAGCTATCACCATCATTTTTCACATTTATACGTTTCCGGGATAGGAAAAAATTGTACCTTACTACACCCCCTACAGAAAACACCAAACAGTTAATAAAATTTTGAAAATCCTGATCATTTAGGAGAAAAGCTTAATTGAACTTTCATGACCTCATCTCTGTAATTCAAAAGTTAACAGGATCTGCTTTGCCAAGGAGGAGGTTTAACAACTGGGATTAGATCATATCCTCTCCTCTCTCTCTCTCTCTGAAGTAAAAGGAAACTACAGTTCCCATCAACCACAGGCAATTGTAGTGACTGTGAGCTGGTACATTAGGCCTGCACATGTTGAATGTGTCTGAGAGTCTCAGTCCACCCACCACTGCAAATGGGGCTGAATTACATCACTGCTTCCTGGAGAAAGAACTACAGAAGAGATGTGCCAAGACCAGTGACTGGAGGAATAGGAGGCATAGCAGCCCAGGGGCAGACTGACCATTCGAGCACTGGGGCACTGCCCGAGGGCCCGGGGTCAGTAGGGGGCCCCATGAAATGCCACTGGTACCTTTTATAGGCTTTTTTGGGTGTGCTTTGAGTGTGGGCAAAGACACAGGGGCCCCATGATCCCCTATTGCCCGGGGGCCCCATGAGTTGTCAGTCCGCCCCTGTAGCAGCCACTGGTCTTACAAACAGGAAACCAAAGAGAATTAACGGTTTGATTTGAAAATTAATAGTCTATTTCAGAGCAATTACTCAGTGAACCAGAAGATGGAAGACATATTTAGTGAGGGTAGGAAATCAGTAACAAGAACATGTAAAGAAGTTTTTGCCTGGAGATGATAATCCCTATTTATTGTGTTTGGGTTGGAGGGAGGTGAATCCATCAGGACCTCCGAATCATAACATAAATGAATCCAAAACTAATTGTGTTCCATTTGTTACTTTCAGATGCACACAACTCGATATCGTCCAATCATCTCACTCCATTTCTCTTTATGGGTTGCACTAGCGGGGATGACTCAAACTGCATAGTAATTTCCTAAAATAACAAATTTTGTGGTTGATTTACTACTAAAGGCAAGAAGACTGTGCAGTTGCTCCAGAGCTTAGTAAATTAGGGCAAAGATTCACTTTGTAAAGAATACCCAATCACATGCAAGGAACGTAAAAAAAAAACAGCATTTTTGCTTGCTCATGATTGGATGATGGACATCAGCAGAGCTTCTGCTTATTTACTAAGTTCTGGTGCAACTGCCTTTAGTAAATCAACCCTTAGCACGTTAAACAAATATAGCCAATCTTCTCAAATAAATTCCAAAAATATGAACTGATTTGGAAGAACGAATATACGAAACAAATTCCAAAAATAAATCATTCTAACATAACAAATAAAAAAAAAAAGATTAACTTAACGAATAAATACAAAACAAAATTAAAGCATTTTTTTCGGGTGTGCACATCTCTAGCATGGCAGTCTCCATTTCCTCTGATTACAGCTCCTCTTTAAGAATTCTTTGACTATTAGAAATCAGATCCTGTGGATACAGTGTGTTCTAAAGAATTATTTATGACTTAGAAAAAAAAACAAAGTTAAATGTGCAATTCTTTGATTCTGTACCATCAGCTTTTCTGTCTTCTGCCATTGAATTATTTACTATTTGTTGCCCTTTTTTTTACGATGTAACACCATAATTAAACAGAATCTTGCATTGGATCAAGCATAAGTTTGTTTGATGAAATATTCACGAAGAACATATCAGTATTTGTTTTTTTTCTATAGACTTTACATATCATTTGGTTGTAAGTAGCACTGAATGCCTCCTTCGTCCGCAGTGAAAATGTCAATGTGATCGCTACACCCGTTTCCCGGAGATTGATTTAGCAATTCACTGATACAGAGGATAAAATGTTCCAAATTCAGACCAGTGAAGAGAAGGCTTTGGAAATCCATACCCGGCTGTCACTTACAATTTAAAGTAGAACTAAAGGCAAAACGTTCTTTCATTAGCATTCTTTCGTTAGGATTTCTTGCATAAGGATTTGGAAGGGTTATAACCACTGGCAGTTTTTTTTGTTTTTTTGTCTTTTTTGCCCTTTGTGTCCCAGGGGGGAAATTTCCATTCACTTCCTGTACCATAACTAAAACAAGAAGTGAAGGGAAATCCTTCTAAAGTGAGGGAATCACTGGTTGTCACCAGAACTAGTGTCCCCATGATTTCCCCTCCATTGTTGTACTGGTGACAGGTGACCTGGGCAAATAGAGAGGGCGAATCTCCCCAATTGGGGCCCAGACAGGAATAAAAACCTGACAGGTGTTCTAATACCTCTCAGCTCTTTCCAAATCTACAAAAAAGTTTTGCCTTTAGTTATACTTTACTGTTTTGGTATTCTTTTAATTAAACTTTGACTTATACATTGGAGAAGCCATTTTAAAGTGCAACGGATGTTCGACTGTGGAAAATTGCCAGGAGTTAGAGTTTTGGTAGAAGAGGCATGCTAATGCCAAGAACTTTCCCCCCCTCTGCTCTGTACACTGCAGGGCACATGCATCATGCATGTGCATTCTAGCTCATAATTGGCATAAGACATGTGCATGCCCTATGTGTGCATTTGTATTTGGTTGTGTAGGCGAGGTCGCATGGGTGCTTTTACATTTTTTATTATTATTATTTCTATTTAGTTAACTATTTTCTATTTAACTTTATTGCTATCACAAGGGCCTAACAAGCTCCCTTCGTGATATCATTGGTCAGGTGACAGTTCCTCTCTATGGAGGCAATGAAGTTTAATAGATCAATAGATCCTCAATGTCTTTCCTGCTCTCCTTTGCAACTAATCAAGGACAAATTGTGCTTGATTAGCTGCTGCCCTGGCTACAGAAGTCTAGAATTACAGCTCTGAAGTGACAAAATCTCATCATTCATCTCAGAGAAGATTGTCATTTACACAGTCCTTGGCTTCCCTGAGGATGGGAAAGCCGAGAAACATTGCAGGCAGCAGCAATGGGGGGAGGCAGTCCAATTCACTGTAAAAGTGATTGGGCGGCCTACAGCCACCTGGATCACTTTTACATTATAATCAAGTCAGCTGAAAAAATGAATACAAACTTCAGTAGCAGCCCTGAGCTTGATTTAACCCCTTGACTGCCAGGGCAGTTATAAATGTGTCTTGTTAGACAAGGGGTTAAAATACATTTCTGTCAGGGCTGGGCTCCTACTACTTAATAAGCAGCTCTTTTCTTACAGTGCTCAAAATGTGCTCAGCTGTTAATTTACCTCAGTGACTCAACTGGATACCATCACCTACCTCATTAGTCCAGCCTACAGCCAGACCTTTTTACTATTTTAGCAGCCTAGCTAATTTCCTCCATGACCTTGCATGGTCTAGGATCTCCAGTGTGTTCTTGCCTGTGTTCCTGTACAGCTCGGTCTGGCTGACTTCTCTTCCGATTTCTGTTCCTGATTTTTGCTCCTGAATACGCTGACTTCTGGTTTCCTGACCCCATCTCGTCTGATTACCCGCTCTGGCATCCAAACCCTGGCTTCTGCTCTTGATTACATTCCTGAACTGTGTTATTTTTGCTATTTCATTAAAGGTGTGATTTTAACTGCACTTTCTGTCTCCACTTGGTTTACGGTTCTTGACAATTTCTTTTTATGAAAAAAAATGCTTTCTGTACTCACACTGCAGTGTTCTGCCCTATCTGTGCAGAGTAACAGCCACACCCCTCAGCACACAGACCATGCAAAAAAGAGGAAGGGGTGTGTCAGACCAGGTCTGTTACCGAGTGCTGATTACCGAGGGCACTGGCTCTATCTCTGGTTACCTATTGGACTGCTCAGTCATTTTTAGCCAGCCTGCACAACAACTGTAACAGGAAAAAGAAGGTAACACTATGAAAAGGGAAGCTGCTAGTACAATGTCTGGCTGACAGCATATCTATTTCTGTGACTTCATTTAGGCTTTAATGTGTGGTATTAAGTTGGTCACTTGTGCTAAGAAACACCTTTGGTATTTTTTGTACAGACATCCTAACAAAAGATTGTCAGTCTAAACATCAATTCTGTTACAATAGAATATTTTTGTTCATTTTCCAACTTATGAATTATCATTTTCAAAATTCTATATTTCTATACAACACAATACATCAAACACAATACAGGTGTCTATTTCCTGTACCTGGAAGCTTTATTTCCATATCTGCCACATGTGCATTGTGCAAACATATATAATTTTCTCTGTAGAAGAAGCTGTTAGTATTTAAGAAAAAACAATCATCATGCAAGACTACAAGCCTGCCAAGCCCTCTTTTATTTTCACATGTAGCTTTGGTCCTTTATTTTTGCTACAGAGCAGAAAAATCTAATTATTAAGGCAATTTATAACAAATGAAAAGTTGTAATAGTTTTGTGTAATATTATGAAACAATAGCAAATGTTCAAGTGAACCAGGGCCCTCTGTTTCCTCTTGTACCAAATTGTATTGTAACTGTAATGTCTACCTTCATTTTGTAAAACGTTGCACAAACTGTTGGCGCTATATAAATCCTGTATAATAATAATAAAAAACTTGCTGTACCAAGATGATTCTTACATTTTAAAGTTGTATTAAACCAAAAATGTATATATTGCAGATTGCCAACAGTTAAATGTGGTGGCTGCATTCGTTTTGTTTTTTTAAGTTTTTTTTTTAATTTTATTTTCATTACATTTATTCCTGCTCTTTTTATTTTCACTTCTTGCTTTATGTTTTACGATGTTTGACACCCAGGGCTGGCACTACTGCTAGGCAAACTAGGCAGCTCCCAAGGCATACTGCCACTTAGGGCACGGCCACTGGAAATTGGTAGGACACAAGTCATTTATTGGTTGGCACTGATCCAACTCTAGTGGCGATGATGAAATGACCCAGCGGACAGTCCTGGGCATGTTTGAGTCCTGACATCATGGAGTAGGCGTTTTCTCACCGTGTATTGTACAATAGGAGTGGGCAGGGCCTGGATCTGTGGATCCTCCCTCTCTGGCCCCTCTCCCAGGCTCACTGTCACTGTCAGCTCATCCTCCAACTGCAGACATAGGCAGTGTCTGGTAACGACGTGTTTTCTTCTCAGTGATGACTGATCCAGCCTAACCTGCCGAGGCTCCGGCCTCATCTCTTACAGCGGGGCCTCTGCTGTTGAGAGCTACACAGGACAGCCTGACAGCCTAGCCATGGGTGCTCCCTGGTGGAATAAAGGGTACAGCACCTGGGCGGTGTGCCTTCTGACTGTAAATACCATCAGCTATCCCCCTCCTTCTGCAGTGCCAGGATCCCTGCAGTGCCTGCAGTGCCACATCAGAGATGTCTCCTCTCCCCTATAGAACTGCTCCCAGCTCCAAAGCCTGCAGACACTACCAACCCTCCTAGCTGCTCTCAAGATCTCCTAGGACAAGGATAAAGGATTAATCACAGCACTGTCCTTTGAAAGCTTGCTACACATGGCAGTCTCTTCCCTTGTAAATTCCTGAGTGTACTCACCCTTTCCTCCTTTCATCCACTGCTCCCAGGTCTTGATACTGTTCATGCCATGATGCTGAATGGACCCTCCTGAGCCAGCCCAAGCCCAGCCTGGAGGCCAACCCCCCTAGATCTCAGGGACCCCTCCCAGGCCACTGACAGTCTCCTCAGCCTTCCATCTTTCACCTGACTCCCCTGCCAGCCTGACTATCCCATAGTTATGGGTTGGTCTCACCACTCTACAAGGGCCTCCAAACCATGGGATTAGTAAAACCTCCATAAATATGCAGATCAGGTCTCCACTCCTTCTGCCCACTGGCTTCTGGAAGGTTCTATGGTTTTTCAGAGCCAGGTTGAGGCGATAGAGTCCTGAACCTGTTAAGTCATCCAGCTTGACGTGCAGTAACCCAACCTTCACAGATTCACACAGTTACCATGAGTCATTCACATTAGGTTTACCTAAACTACACTAGTAGCACACTAGAGGGTGGTTCACCATATAGTAACTGTTCTGGGGGGTGTTCAGACCCCTCCCCCCTTATCTACCCCTGAGCTGATCATTGTAAACATCCCTGTCAGTGGTAAATAAAGACATTTTTTTTTGTGCCTCCTATATGCACTCAAATGAATCCACCTGTAGTATGTAAACCAATGAAAGCAAATAAACAGTGTATTTTCATATGAATAAACTCACATAAAATATTGATGATGATCTCTATAGTGCATTTCCTATATTAACCAACTCCACACATAAATGTACCAACAATAGTGTTGTGCCACTCTGTTACTCCTCCTTTCACAAAAATTGGATTATACAAATAAAATCAAATAGTCTAAATGTGTGATAATCTTCCTTCTTCAATGTGATGGTATAATAAATCACTTGCACCTTCAGTGTCTTCAGAAAAGATCACATGAAATATAGTGACTCCCGGTGAGGAAGGTTGCAGTTCTGGTGTCCACCAGTGGGTGTCTCCCAGCAGCCAGCAGACCCCAGCAATTAGTTTCTACCTGGTTCTGGCTGCTGGAGGATGTTTAGTCCTTCCTCTTCTAATACCTCTTACTTCAGTGTTTTGTCAGATAGCCAGATTTGTGTTTGCTGAGATATTCTGAGTCTAAGGCTTCATGTACACGAGCAGCTCCTCAATTTGAGTTTAGGAGCTTTGGCATATAACTTATGTTGGTCCAAGTTGCACCAATCTAACTATGCAAAAATATCCTTACCTAGAATTCAGCTTTAAAGAATATGTCAACCCAAAATGTCATAATTCTGATATGTGCCTCCTGTACCATGAATAGTACTTGTATAAATCCTGTTCTCTTTGTATTGCTTCCTTTGTGAAATTACCTGGTGATCCTGCCAGTCCTTCTACTTTCCTATTAAATACTTACCACAGTAGGCATGAGAGCACAGCATGGTCAGTTTTCTGCCTGTGTTGGGAACTCAGGCTGCACTCTTCCAATGAACAGACTGGTGTTTACACTCCCCACTACACACAGCCATTCTCTGGGAAGATCAGTGTGCTGCAGCTTCTCCTCCCCCAGCTCTCCAAGATCCTTATGTAACTGGGAACAGAGGGTATGTGATCAATTATAAAAATGGGGGAAAAAGGATTTATAATGCTTTTTTTGATAGCTATACACAAATGCTTTGTCTTTCATTTCCATTTTAACCTGAATGGGTTGTTTTACAAGGTGAGGTTCACATATAGTGGTGGGCTTAACACCCCCCTGTTCGGTTCGCGGTT